GCGACGTTCATTGCCTGTTTTGCACTAAAATATTTTACGGCCCAATTCTCATATTCGTATTGGCATAACAGACCGCTTCTCGGCATACTGGACTCGTTTCAACGGACAGTGCAGAATGCGACGTCTGTGGCACCGACAAAGACATCAACTATCTGCTATGCCATTGCCCTCGATTCACCCCCGAGAGAAAAAAAACTTTCTGACGCATTGCGACAAGTGAACGATTGGCCACACTCTGTGCAGATGCTGCTGGAGCACCGTCCTTAGCCTTCGTTGGCTCGAAAGGCAGTCAAAGGCCTCTCGCACTTTTTGAGGACTACGGGCCTATGCGAACGCCTTTAACTTTTGTGTAGTGCCACCACTGCATACGCGTCAGCCCATTGACTTACCAATTTTTTGTCTTTTTCTCTTTTCTTTCCTGTCTCTCTCATCTTTAGACATCCCATTCCCATTCCCGCAGCGTAGGGTAGCAAACCGGGCATGTGCCTTGTTAACCTCCCTGCCTCCTCTCTTGTTGTTCTTGTCCTTTGTCCTTCCTTTTAATTCAAAACTACAAACTCTTGAGTGAGCGGTCACGGACCCTCTAACGAAAAACGAATCCTTAATATTCCCATTTGCTCGTTCAAACAAGCATTTATTATATAACTTCAGCTCCTTGTTCAAAGCACACACTCGTGACCGAATACACTTTTAGTCTAGTGACAAGAAATGTCATTTGCATAACAGCATTGATGTCACTGCGTCAGTAATACGTAGTAACAGAAAAATTGCGAATTTGTAACACCTCAGCTTCTCGTTCTAAAGACACACGCGTGAAAGAACACTCTTCGACTGTAGCGACAAGAAATGTCAGTTACATAGCAGCAACGCACGTTACTGCTTCATGAATTTGTAATAATTACAAAAAAAATCTTGTAACTGCAAGTTGTTCTGTTGGCGAGCCACGCAGCCATTTTCACCCGGGATCATTTCTTTTCTCAGCTTTGCAGCCCGAGGCTGCAGCACTTGACCTTTGCCTACGGCATCGCTGCGTATTATGTGGACTACGAAGACTACAGTCAAGTCAGCGACTCCGTCAGTGTGCTCGGTTCCTTCACCCGTGTTTTCACTCTGACACTCCTTCGGGACTACGTCGAGATCGTATTCAATGTCCGGAACGAATGTACTGACTGTCTGAGACTGGCATATTAAATTTGCAGTTATGACGAGTACTGGATCCTAAGTTACTTGTGATGTTAGGTGAACTACTGACGCAGACAACACGAGCGATCTTTTGTTGCTTCCCTGACGAGAATGTTTTCTTGCCGACAATAGCATTGCCACCTCAAGAAACTTTTAAGTTTATTCACCTTATAATTCACATACGGGCAAAATTATGTGGGGTATTAAGTCACAAAAGCACGGCATGACTGTGAAAAATGATGCACTGGAGGGCTCCGGAAATTTTGACCATCGCGTGTTTTTTAACGTGCAATGACATCGCACAGTAGGCGGACCTCAACCATTTCATCTTTTTTTTTTAATGTGACCACCCCGGTCAAGATCGAACCCACCACCTTCGTTTCAGCTGACGAGCACTGCAACCACTGTTCCACTCAGCCGTATATTCATATAGGAGTTGGCATTGTTCATGAGGTTTAACGTCCCAAAGCCACCATATGATCATGAGAGACGCCATGGTGGAGGGCTCAGGAAAGTTCAATCACCTGGGGTTCTTTAACTTGCACCCAAATCTGAGCTCACGGGCCTGCAGCATATTCGCCTCCATCGAAAATGCAGCCACAGCAGCCGGGACTCGATCCCGCAACCTGCGGGTCGGCAGCCGAGTACCTTAGCCACTAGAACACTGTGCAGTGGGGCCGTTCGTATAGGGGTGTATAAATCGTAACTTCTTACAACGAGTGCGTTTTTGGATGCAAACGAGTCGCTGTTGATTGCTGGTAACATTCATTACAGACAGATCAAAATTAGTAATAACCGTTTAATAAAACGAACGGGCAACTAGGTGGGCGTAGCTTTCACTATCGGTGCATGGATAAAGTGGTGGTGCGAATCGGTTCCTAGTTGCCCCTGGTGATACGAAGTAATGCGAAGTGATCCTATGTTCTACAAAGCAATGGCAAGTAATGGCAAGTTCCATTAGAGTCCATAACAGTCACATTTCGCTGTTGCAGCCATACCATTTTGTGGACTACATCGAACAACTCGAGTACAGCAGCCTCGCTTGGCATCGCGCCACGAATCCCTACGTGTGCGTCACGCGCCTGCAGCGGCGCCCCCACGCGTCAGCTTTATTCAGAACGAAAAGTTGCGTGCCCAGCTGACCATGACGTCACCTCTGGGGCCCGAGTGTTTGCGCGCAATGGCCAAGTAGGCGGGCTGGTGACGGAGCGTCCTATGGGCAAGCGAATCAGGTGTCCAACAGCGCAACCACTTTCTTATAAGCCTGGGCGCATGCAAAACAATTGGAGATTGAGTTCCATAAACCAAGAATTTGGGTTTCCCATTATGTGACCTTATCAGCAGCGGCCTTCCCAAAAAAAATCCGTAAGTTACCAAGAGAACCAGATCAAGACGTGTAAGTTCGGCAGCACCAATTTTATCTTTGTACAGTACCCACGGACTGAAATGGAACAATTTTAAGGCAAAGTAACACGCATATTTTCGTTTCGTCCGTCTTCAGTTCAAATCAAATTGGTGTAATTTCAACTCTATCGCATAGATCGCAGTCGACAAAGTCCTTAGGTACCAGTTTCGTCACGATAAGCTGTGGTTATCTCGAGCAACTCCACACACCAATCATTCTGCTACAAAAAAAAATGATGGCCCGTTTGATTCGCGAGTACTGTACATTCTTGCAATTCCAATGAAGACGTCGCTTCAAAGGATGAAGTCTTACCTTGAATGACCATTTAAATAGTGTGAATTTAAGGACGAGAGAGCAGTTTTTTTCTCGTATTCACTACCTATCCAGCAGGCGCTATGTCCTCTAAGCCACTTATTCCTTTATAAAACAAGTGCATAGTATCAGCGCTAAGCGTTCAGCCTCTCAAGATCAATCGCTTTCCGGCTGCACGCTGTCGTCTCGACTGGCGTGTGTACACGACGCACAAAGCAAAGTAAAAATCAGTTCTTTGCCAGCGATAGTCACAAAAGACAATGCAAAACAGGGTGAAAGAGGAGTCTTTAAGAGCCAGTGCATGATACAGTGAGTTAACGCGAGAAAACGAATCTAAGATGGAGGAAGAATCAACATAAGCGCTAACGAATAACTGTGCGCAATTGTATCTTAATGCGACATGCACAAAAAAAAATTAGGGAATCCTAAATCTTCGCCTTTGGGAGTTGAACGCGATCACGACGTCCCATCTCTAGTACGCACTTGAAGCACTGAGTGCATGAAACCTCTTCGAATTTTCTATGCACCCACTAAGTGGCCTTAAACGGGCCCTCTAAAACTTTTCAACCCCCTACTTTTTACTCGTGGACTGTATAGAATGACGCATGGACAAATCAGTGCAGCAAGAACGGCAGCAATAGCGGCACGCAGCACAAAGTTATTCAATTTCTGCTTTTCAAGTCTGCTTTTCTGCGACATGCAAACCAGCATTCACTTGTATTTGGTGTGTATGGTGTGCATAAGTGCTGATTGTATGCTTCAAGGTTGCTGATTTGTATTTTTACACATTATTTACCAATTTACTATCCTGAAAGTATTAAGTGCTCTTTGTAACTGTATACTGTAGTGCCCTCCTGCTATGGTCTCTTTGGAGACTGGCAGTATTGTGAATAAAAATAATAAATAAATAATTTAAAAAATTCAAACTACAAGAAAAAACCCTACCCTCAACTCAAATTTCGCGGGGTGACATTACCACCTTTCACATTCTGCTGTGACGTTGCAGGGAGCCTCCAATGACACGCGCTGAAAGCTCTTGCGTAGAGGAAGCTCGTACACCATTGTTGCCTGTTCCGTCAAATGTGTTTGTGACGCTGTTGCTATAGCAACAGGCAACATGGTGCCTGATCACGCCGTTTTGTTTACGCGGTCGCACAGTTTAATAAAGATGGTAGAAATGAGCCTCCCCGACTTGTCAGAACTCGAGCAGGTCCTTTTGCTTCGAAGCGAGGCTTCACGCGTCCTGTGATAGGCTGCGCTCATCGTCGTCATTTCCGCCCGCTTAGTTCTAGCGAGCGCCACTGTGCGCCGACGCGGTCGGCAGCAATGAGGTGACTTTATTGCACGATTAAAATACTAAATGATATGGTATCGGTGCTTGGACCTATGCTAAAATTATCCCCGGCCATCGGTCTATGCAAAACACATACAAAATATAGGTGCTTCAAAAGTGTTGGAGGGCCCCTTTATGGGAATGGGTGCAGTAGCGTGTGTGCCTTTTGTAGTGGGGTAGCGGCTTTCAACCACGGAGCCATTATGATATTCACATATGCCGACACCGTTGGCAATTGTCGCCTGTACCACTCATTGTAACTGCAACATTTCATACTTGCCTTGTGAAGCATGCGTACCGGACGCGTGTGTTTGTGAAACATGAAAGCCACTTTCACTGTTTTCACAAGCAGAGGCATCGCAGTGTGGTAGAACATTCGCTTGCCACGTAAACAACCGGGTTCGATTCCCCCCTTGGGTAAACAACCCTGGTTCGGTCCCCACTGTGCTCCAGGATTTTTTATCACTTTTTTATTGGCATGATTCTCGATTTTTCGGTCCCGCATAACATGATTTTTCGCTCGCAACCAACGACGCCGACACAGACGTTGGAATTTCTGCGAAACGAGCCCTTCAGCGCTATCGCGTTATAAGGGATACGTAAGCACACTGGCAAGTTTCATTTACGTAATGTTCAGAAGGAAGCGTCAGAGAGCGTTCGAGTGAATCAAAGACTACATGAGAGTACGTGGCTTTCGGGGATTTTCACGATCAGGTTAAAGTCTCCGTTTCACCAAGACTTAATGCAAAATAAACTGCCCCACAGGCACGTTGATAGCAGCACTCAGTTTATTCAAATGACATAAAAAAGAGGCAGTGTCAAATATAAAACATTTTCATGTCTGAGATAAATGTGAAGCCAGTAAGATTAATGAACATGAGCAAGAGATTCGGTGACAAGACATGCCTATAAAAATGAAAACTCAATGCTAATGAAGCACTCGTGGTGCATATTGTCGTAACGAAAGCAGGTTGGTATGATAGGCAAATTCTGACATTTTTCTTCTTGTCTGACTACAATGCGCACAACAAAGTACCTAAAAACAAAGTCATATGAGAATTCTGACAATGGTAACTGATGAAATTAAATGTACTTGTACGGTATCAAAGAACATGACTGTCCTTTTCGTCTTGTTAGGCTTGCTCAAAATGCGACCCTACCCTCAAAATTCCCCTATACGGGTCTAAAGATCAGACGTCTTTGGAAATATGCCCGTGCCTTAGACCTGTTGCTTGAGGTCGTCGACTCTACTCATGAGAGCATTCGTGCCTCGAACAATGTCGAAGGCAGCCGCGCAGCGCGGGGAGCGGTCCTTGCCTAAAATATAGTGCGCGGCGCACGTAAGGTGTCCAGTATTGCGGCTGATGACGTCTTCAATCACGAACCACTCATCGTCCACACAGTCTGTGCGTTCCAGGACATTCAAATAAGACATGGTCATGTTATCGCGAAACTTGGCGGCTATCAACCGAACGAACGTGTCGTTTTCTGCGTTGTCCACGGATGAGAAGATGAGCCAACACAGCGTCTTGCTGGCACAAACTTCGTCAGCCAGGAAACGCAAGTTCTCCTCGCCCACGCGGAAATCAGTGATCCGCAGAATTCTGATCGCCGAGTTCTTGAAGATTAAGTCGAGGAGTACGCTGTAAGGTCGCTTTGCCGATCTAAGAGTACGACCGAGATGCGCTTCGTCACGTCCGGTTAGCCAAAGCTGCCTCAGCGATACAGCTGTGCTCAAGTACTCACTCAGCTTGCGGAATGCCAGGACGTTTGATAGGAATCCCCGATCCAGCTGGAGTTCGAGCATGGTGACCCGATAGCAGTAGCAGGCTAGCTGGACTGCTTCTGCAAACGCTTGTGGACCCGTCTCGGCGAAGGACCTGATCACCACCTTAGATAACGCCTCCGGATACTCTTGAAGATTAGATAGCGTAGAAGAATCGACGTAGTAGAGTTCCTCTATGTGGACCCGGCTAAGCATTCCGGCCTCCCTGATGACTCGGCAGACTGCCTTCAGTTCGTCCAACGGCACATTTCTCAGCGATACTGTTTTGAGAGACTCGATGGCAACGGCGGTGTTCAATAGATCCCGCAGTTCGTGCAGCTTGAGTTCATCGCAACCGAGGGCCATAAAAGAGAGTTGAACCGGCGCAGTAAAATCGAACAGCTCCATCCAGAGACAAGTTTGATCCTCGCGGTCATCGTCTGCAGGTATACCGGTCGAGCATCGTTCCAGCCAGTCCTTGGGGCTCCAGAGACAGTCGCCTATGTCCAGAATCTCAAGGCAACCTTGTCGGGAAACGAGATAAGCCAGCAGAGCCGCGCAGTCGGCCGATAACCGGAAGCTGCATAGTCGGAGCTTACGGAGCCTGGTGCTGAAGAAGAGGGGTGAGACGATGCTTTTGATAATGGGGTCGATGAAGAAGGGACACCCGGGCACGCCTTGCACGCTCAGAGAGGTTAGCCGTGTGCTGTTGGCCAGGAAGTCACAGAATACGGAACGTTCGTTATACTGGCCAGTATTCAGGATGCTATATTGAACAGACAATGTCTCGACAGTTTCGTTGCGCAGAAGTGCGTCGCTTAGACGCTTACCGGTTTCGTCGTCGTGAAAGATCCCCACTGTTGACAGGGTTGTCAGACACGTGGTGGCCACAAGAAGCGGACAAAGAGCGTCCTGAACAAACGAACGCGGTAAGGTGCTGTCCAGAGCCAGCTCGCGCAGGTTCGTCATAGTGCCAATGGCTTCAAACAGGTCCGAACGGACGCTTCTGTGGGTAGAAAAATGGAAAATTTTGGCAGGATCAGTGTATCTGACAGGGAAAACAGTGTGCCTAACTAACTTTTCTTTCATTTGTACACACTAATTGCACTGAAGAAGACATCACATTGAGAGGGATAACAAACGCGGAGTTCATTCAAACAGCCAATAATGGTATGTCGGGTTTTACATCCCAAAACCCCGATATGACTGAGAGACACCGTAGCGCAGGGCTTCGGAAATTTTGACCATTCGATGTTATTTATCATGCACCGATTTCGCACAGTACACAGGGGCCCCTGACATTCATAAAACAACTACAAGCTTCACAGTGAAAAATATAACCATCTTCATTCTCCGCCTGCTTACGTCTACGACATGACCAAGGCCTCTCCAAGTTATCTGCAGTTTATTATGTCCTCTGCGAGCTCACTTAATTTCTATCCGGCGAAGTTCTTCACTTCGTCACTCTGTAACGCTCTGCCATCTTCGACTGCGTTTCTGATCCCATAGTAAAACACCACTGTTGCTTTTACTGTCCAGTGGTTGTTCGCCTGTGCTGCGCCTGACGTGACCACCCATATACGGTGGAATATGTTAGTAGTGTGATGGTACGACTGCATAATGCGCAAACACAGCATACACCTGTGGAACTGATTACCTAAACGTTACAAAAACGTGCCAATAAAGTGGAATGCTGGGCCAGTCGGTACAACATAATGTGGAAATATGTGAGCGCACAAGGTAGAGAAAAAAAGCGCTTGACAGGAAAGACGCTCAACTTACAGTTGAACTTAAAAAAAAACATTCATTGCACGAGAACACAAACGCGCAGGTGCGCCAACTATATATACACTTCAAGGTGCCACCCAACCCCCTCCCCTCTCATTTTCAGTGTTTCTTCGATAGCGATAAGGAAAATTGAGGTGTCTTTTTTAAGCTGTTCAAGTAGATAAACATATACCTTCTTTTCTTTTGAGGAGTAGCGTGGGGTGTGGTACCTTGTAATGATAGTTGGTTGCGCCTGCGCGTTTGTGTTCTCGTGCAATGATTGTTTTCTAATAAAAGTTCAGTTGTAAGTTGAGCGTCTTTCCTGTCAAGTGTTTTTCCTTCTACCTTGTGCGCTCATATATTTCCACAAAAACATGCCAGACGTCCCAAATATCATAGAATCAGACTTGGCAGTAAAGTATTATAGAGATGCTTCACTTATTCATCAGCTTTAGTATTTCAGTACGCTCATTAAGGTCAACTAGTACGGCCACTCAATAAAAAATTCAATTCCTTATTATGATTGCCGGGGTCTATTGCCTCAGAATTATCGTACCGTAGTGGAGGGTTCCGCAAATTTCGAACATCTGGTGTTTTTTGTTTTTTGTAACGTGCACCAACGTTTAAGCGCGTGGGCCTCAAGCATTTTAGCCTTCATCGAAAATGCTGCCGTCATGGCTGAAATTATAGATCTCGCACCCTGCGGGTCAGCAATCAAGTGCCTTGGCCACTTGATTGCTGCCCGTGGCGGGTAATTTCTTAATAATGGCAACAAACTGTGCAAGGGCATTCTATCGATGAATTGATAGAGGTACATTTGAGTGTGAACATGTTTTTTGTGCGTAAAATAATGAGCACATGTTCTCCTAACTAAAGCGAAATCAATTGAAAAAAAAATGCAGCTTGAAACACACAAGCTAGGAAGGCTTCAACGAGAGAAAGCTAGGTTAGTTAACAAGTATTGCTCATGAAAAAGGAACATAAGCTATTTCGTGCCGTACGAAATAGTACTTTCATAAAACGTGCCACAGCTTTCTGCGTTCATATTACGCTTCTTTTAAAGACTCGTAAAACTCCTTGTTGTAGCTACTGTATACTGAACGTTTAGAAACGTTCACCACTTCACCATATTCAAAGAAGGCTAAAGAAATCGCAACAAGGCAGGAGTCGGGGTTATGCATTACATTAATTCTGTATTGTAGAGGCTAAAGAAGGTAAGAGGTACAGGCGTCATTCTTAGGAAAGCTAACGCTCGAGGACGTCACAAAGAGCCTCGTGGCGCACATGTGGCATGACGCAGCGGCAATTCTTGCCCAATCCCCCACAGTGGCTATGCGCCACAGCTAATAGGTAAACAAGAAAAAAGTGTGAAAATAAAAAGAGAGATGAGTGTGGTGCTTTCTACAGCTATATGCTCCACTCACATACGTGTTTATATTGAACTTACGAGTTTCTGGTGATATCCAAAGTTTCTTGGAACGCTTCAGCAAAAAAGCTCGTTTTTTTTGTTTTTATCACTGCCGCTATCGCAGCTTCAGACAGCGGCTCTCGTAGCAAGATAACGTTAAAAAAAGGAGCATAGCTGAATGCACGGCTACATGCAACACAAAAATAAATCGAATGGTACCATTGCTTTCCAAGTTTTACATTTCGAAGCCCACGGCGCCGCGTAACATGCCTGAAGAGAAGTACATGGCCAAGTACTGGCGCGTTTATGCACGACAGTTGATTTATGAATGACAGTTGTACATACAATGTTAACGTCGTTTCTTCGGCTAACAATAAGTTGTGACAGTTGGGGGAACGAATTAGCCGGTTAAGTATGAAAGTAGGACTGACATTTGTGTGGCGAAACGTACCAACAAGTTTCCGGACTGAAGTAAGAGTATAGTTCAACATGTTGCTTGCCTCTGGAGCCGCTCGCACGTCAGACGCGTCGTTGCAGTAAACAGATCATAATGGGGCATAAGCATTCCTTAGGCGGAGAATCACCTTTGCACTGCCTTTGCACTGTCGCGGTTGCAAACTCGTTCCCTGGTTCAGTAAATAATCCGTTTCGAAAGACGTGGCAATGACGAAACGCGTCTTGTATGATCAAGTAAATCGGCAGTAGTGAAAACCCATCCATGAGGATGCCTTCGTTTAGCTTGCATGGAAAAGAAATTGAAGCTCTACGGCGCTTTTCTTCGAGCACACATGCGCAATCGCCCGATTCGAAGACTGTGCTACCATCCTCGAGAATGCACAAATACGTTTTGTGTCTGCCGTATTTTTCGCCAGTTCAGCACACTGTCAGTTGATAGTCGGTGTTATCGTTATCTGGTGCTGTTCTTTCTCCATGTATCCGCACCCAATCCCTTTCACGAAAAAAAAAAAGACCTGCGCATACGCATTCCCGAAGACTGTCAGCAGCCCTGTTGCTTTGATTAGTCATATGCGGCCCACACCAGTTCAATGTGTGCGAAGTAACACAAGGCGATGTAACACAATTATAAACGAACTTTTTACGCATAACTCATTAACGCACGAAAGACAAATGCGAAGGAAATAGGCCGCATGCAATGCAAACTTCACGTGAATAATTACTCGCTGAAAAACATACAACTTTAAAACTGCGCCACACAGAAAAACAAAAATTCTCACTGAGGGCGCCCGCATTTACTACTAAAGCTTGAACCTCTTTAATCCCCACAATCTACGCTTAACCGAGCAGTTAAATGATGAAATTCATTTCAAGGTATGCGCATTACTTATTGACGAGAGCCAGCGACGGAATACTTACCCCCGTATTCACAAACGCTCTTCGACTCGAATTTCAGCCTTCACTTGACAGAGTTGAGCACTGCGCTACCGCTCAGCTGAAAACGACGCTGCGCTACTGAGAATCCCAGCAGACTATCGCTGATATGCAGTAATTGCCGTGCCTAGAGACGGCGCTCCAATCGGTTTTCTCAAGTGAAGGGGAAGCGTTGAGTGAAGGGACGTTTTAGAATACGGGGCTTGGACACCTTTTCTCACGTAATCTGCTCGAAGCACTTGCTAGACACATCAGTGGCAGATCCTCTCCATTTTCTTCACCGTGTTTTTTTTTTCGCACTAATCACTTATGTTTCAGGTCTATTCGCACCAAGCAGCCCAACTCGCGTATATAAAAGTGGAATCCTGCACCTCCCGCGATTAAGCAGCCGTACAGACTACACCGGCCTCAAGTCGCTCTTGCATTCCAGGAACAGCGTTTCGGGTTGTACTCACGTGTACTCGTGAAGCCGCCAGACGGTCAACGCTTGGAGGCTCGTGTTTTGGCGAAGAGCCGAGACGACCAACTCCCGGCACTCGCCGAGTCCAGCGCCTTCCACGAGGGCTTCGTCCAGGTGCAGGCTCTCGACGCAGCCGTGCCGTACCAGGAGGACGTGAAACAGAATCCTCGCGTCGCGACTGCGCGCCTGGTGTGCGCGGCCGCCACCGTCCTTGTAGACAACTAGTTCCAGCGAAAGTCTTCCGGGAACCCGGAATTCTCGCAGCTGTAAGCCGACGTGCCACAGGACGTAATTCCATCGGGACAGGTTATCGAAGACGTGACAGACAGACGACGACGGACCACTAACGCCGTCTTCGCCATCGCCACCTTTCGCGCAGCAAGGGACGTTCAGGCCTAGTTCCGGAATGCGTCGGTCGAGTTCGTCAAGATCTATTTCTTCTGTCCCGATGCTTATTTTGTGGCTCATTTCCGTTTCGCAGGCAACAAGGCGGCCGTTAATTACTGAGACCCTTGTACTTGAAAGTGAAGACGCTTAGCGGACAGAGCTAGACCACGCCGTTTCTCAGTGCTTAGCATCCATGCCAATCATTTCACTGAACGAAAGTGGAATGTGGCAAAGCTTGTCCCCAGGGCTTGACATCACATCAGATATGAAGCTGCTTATTATCGCTTTGAATACATCTCAGTCGTTGCTTTTTTGGACAAGCGTTGGATTGATCGTGAAACTTTTATCGCTATAGAACGAGAAACTTTTCTTTGGCTCCGTGGTATCGCGGGAACAAATAAATCAGATTCGAATCCTATTGTACGACTTTCTTGTCATTTATACCACGTGACTGCCCGCTAGTATACTGTAAGGAATGTTATCGATGAGACAGAAACAAGTAAAACAAATACAATGATGCAGAGGCTAGCCAACGTGACAAGGCTGCTATGAGCTATCTTTTCTGTGTGAAATGTGCACCTTTCATCACTTTGCATATAAATAGCTGCAAATTAGTACCTCTCAATGGTCCTGGCAAGAATCGATCAACACAAATGATTTCTAAACCTGCGAGGAAAGACGGTATATCACAATGAAGACCTCCTCCTTGCATCTGTGATAATTCGCAATAAAATGAAATTAGGAGGGTATTTGAGTGCCGAAATTGTGATACGATATACAGTCACATCGTAGAGCACGACATCGTAAGAACCTGAAACATGGGGGGGGGGGGGGAAGGATAACTATTCATAAAAATTCACGTACGCAGCTGTTCTTCAATTTTGCCTCCTTTTCAAAACTGCTGTGTTGTTGCGCCTTTGGGTAGCGTGGTGCGGACTCGGGCCATCCGAGTCCCCGGAGAGGACGAGTAGAGAAGCCGGAGAAGGAGAAAAAAATGTTTATATACAGTATTTACATGGTAGCGTGGTACAACATGAAAAGAGAATCACACACGAGCGCCTCTGCGCTAGCGTTTTTATACATCGTCCGCCTTCCCAAGATCCCTTGCAAAGAAAATTTATGCGCAGGATACTCCAATGAGATCGTCGTCTTCCTCTCCGTCCCCGAAGAGGGAAAGCCAAACACCGCCTCCCTCTGAACCTAGGAAAGGGGGCAAGGCATGCCCAGTTCGCTGTTTGGTGAGGGAGACCCCACGCGCCAGCGTGGCACCACAGTGAGATGACGTGGAATCCCATGCGCAAAGTCGCTCCCTGATGCAGCCAGGTTGACTCAAGCAAGGCAGAATACCCCGTACAGCTGCTGGGTCGACGCTGCTTCGGAGTGTTGCCCTCGGCGGCTGACAAAAGCTTGGCCAACGACTTTTGTGTCAAGAGGAGCCGGCGACGTGGTTTTTCCCGATTGTCCGCGTCCGTCGCCGTCCCGGTGCAGGGTTGACTCATCAACAGCTGCCAGGTGCCAGCAGGCCGCGAAGACCACGTGGAACTTGGGCGAGGCACAACAGCACCCCCACCGCCAGATGATACATCGGGAGGTCGAGTTGTTCCATGCAGCTCGGCCGGGTCGATGTCGGCGACGTTCCGGCAAGGCTCTTGCTTTCTCGAAGGGCCTGGTCAAACTGGAATGCTCCAAGAGCTGGCCTCTGCGCCCCGCTTCGGTGAAAAGTGGGTGACAAGCTCCAAGAAACGACCTTTGTCAGCCACACACAATGCGACAAGCACCGCGTGCACGCCACTCTCATCGCCAGGCCTCAGATTTTACAAAGCAAACATCTTATCTTAATAACTTAAGCTCAAGGAAACAATGTGCATACTAATCGGGACAAGTGTCCAGTAACTCTTTCATACGTAATTCCATTTGGAATCGAGATAACATTATAATCAAGCTAAACAAGCAAACTGTAGAGCTCGGGACAACGAGGGAGTCAGTAAAAAATTTCTCTATGCCCTCACTGTAACACATTGAAAAAAAAAAAGAGTACACATAAACTAGGTAAAGGTAAACAAAAAAAAATCAAACAAACCTTCCGCGTCTTTTGACGAGTCAAAACGCTCGACTTAGGGCGTCTGCATTTGTATGAAGGCCACCTCTCTTGTAGCGCACCTCGAAATTGTGCTGCTGCAGTGCTATGCTCCATCTGAGCAAACGACCATTCTTAGGTGACATTTTGTGTAACCAGGTTAGTGGAGAGTGATCAGTTTCTATAATAAACTTAGAGCCAGCAACATAGCAGCCTAGTTTTTGTACGGCCCAAACAATGCAAGCACATTCTTTTTCCGAAGTGCTATAAGCCTCTTCCCTGCTGCTCAATTTGCGACTCAAATACAAAACCGGCCGCTCCTCTCCACTCTGGTCCGTCTGACATAGCACTGCTCCTAAACCGCGTTCGCTTGCATCACACTGAATAGTGAAAGGTTTTGCAAAATCCGGTGCCCTCAAGACGGGTTTCTCACTCAATGCGTGCTTCAGCTTCTGAAAAGCGTCTTCCTTCTTAGAGTCCCATTGAATGTTCACAGGTTCGGTCTTGCGTAAACTATCTGTCAAAGAGCTGGCAATCTCGGAGTAATTCGGGACGTAATGCTGATAGTAACCTGTGAGGCCGAGGAATGCTCTCATCTCGGTCTTAGTGCTGGGACGACGATAACCGACCACCGCGGCTACCTTGAGTTCGGACGGTCGACGACGCCCATTTCCTACAATGTGCCCTAAATAGCTTACTTCAGCACAGCCCAAATGACATTTCTCTCTCTTTACCGTAAGACCTGCATTTTTGATCCGTTCCAAAACCATCCGAAGGTGTTCAACATGGTCTTCCCATTTGTCCGAAAATATCGCCACATCGTCTAGGTAAGGCAGCGCAAATTTCTCGAGCCCGTGGAGAACCTTATCCATCAGGCGGCTGAAACAATACGGCGCGTTCTTGAGCCCAAAGCTCATCATCAAAGGACGAAAAGTGCCCAGGGGTGAGATAAAAGCAGCGTATCGACTCGCGCGCTCTGTCAAAGGGACCTGCCAATACCCCCTAACAAGGTCTAACGTAGAAATGTATTTCGCCTTAGACACTGTCTCTACCCTCTCTTCAATGTTAGGAATAGGGTAAGTCTGGTCGACTGTTACAGAGTTCAGGCGGCGATAGTCCACGCATGGCCTTGGATCACGGCCCGGAATCTCAACCAAAATCAAAGGCGAGGTGAAATCACTGTCTGCTTCGATGATAACACCTAGGTCGATCATGCGGCGAATTTCGGCCTCTAGTATCTCTCTCTGTCTAGGTGACACCCGATACGGCTTACAGCTGATCGGCTTGTTAACCGTCAGCTCAATGTCGTGCTTAATCACATCCGTTTTGCCTGGCTTCTCGGAGAAAACGGTAGCGAATTCCTGTACTAAAAGCTCTAAATCTTCCTCTTGAGCCTTACTTAGGGTGTTCCCTGTGTCTACCCTATCTGACAATGTGCTGCTGACCGTGCCATCGGAAAGACAAAGGATTTCCGCGCCCTCATCCTCAGGAACATTGAGTGCAAGGTTTACTACTGCTTTTCGTCGCATGTAGGGTTTCATTAGGTTACTGTGATACACTTTGGGGCATTTCCGGCCCCACTTTACCTCGTAGTTGGTGTCTGAAAGCACTGACATCACTGTCGCTGGTCCCTCCCATTGTACGTCCAGCTTGTTTTTTCTTGAAGGGCACAACAGCATCACCTCATCGCCCACTCTAAAGACTCGCTTTCGAGCTGACTTATCGTAACGGGCCTTGGAAAGCGCCTGTGCTGCGCGCATGTTGCTCTCCACCACTTCGCGTGTAGTCCCCAGTCGCCCCAATAAATCCAGTACATAGGAAACCACATTAGGGTCCTCCCCATATCCAGTCCATGACTCTCGTATCAAGTGCAGCGGACCTCTCAAGTTCCTGCCGTAGACAAGTTCAGCCGGACTAAAACCCGTACTCTCGTGTGGGGCCGACCTCAGAGAAAACATCGCAGCTGGTATACACCCCTCCCAGTCACTTTTATGCTCAAAGCACAAAGCTCGCAAAACGCGTTTCATGACCGAGTGCATGCGTTCCACAGGGTTCGACTGTGGATGGTGAATAGAGCTATGCGCGATTTTTATCCCGCAGCGTTCTAGGAATGTAGTCGTAAGGCAGCTTGTGAACACACTTCCGTTGTCACACTGTATCTCCGAGGGAAAACCCACCCGAGAAAAAATAGACAACAATGCGTCCACCACGCATACTGAACTCAACTCTTTCAGTGCGATTGCCTCCGGGAACTTGGTGGCAACGCACAGCGCGGTCAGGACGTACCGATATCCTGATTTAGATGGAGGCAGAGGCCCCACGATGTCAATCACGAGCCGACGGAAGGGTTCTGTGATTATTTGCACTAGTTTCATTGGTGCCTTCCATTTGTCTGTTGATTTTCCTATCCGCTGACAAGTGTCGCATTCACGGACAAACATCTCTACATCCTTCCAGCACCCGGGCCAGTAGAACTCCTGAGCCAGCTTAGCTTTCGTTTCTTTATACCTAAGTGGCCCGCCCAGGCGTTGCTGTGGGCCAGGTCGAGAATGTTCCGCCGGTATTTTAGTGGAACTACCACTTGGTTGTAGACCCGCCCTTTAGCGTTCTCATACCTGCGATGCAACACCTCGTTTTGGGTGTAGAACGAAACGTTCTTTCTAGAGTTACCTTCCTTATGTATGGCATCTAGCAGCATAGAGAGTGCGAGATCCGCCTTTTGATCGACCACTAGCGTTGCACGGTCGGTTCTGGCTAGCTGACACCAACTGGTGGACGCGGGTGTTAACACCGAGCCTGTCACCAAGTCCTCGTTTTCGGGCGTTAGAGATATTTCCTCGCTGTTGTCGACCATAGCCCCAGTTTCCGTCTCGACAACTCGCATGGCAGACTCATTTTCCGTCGCAACTACCTCAGGTTTTCCTACACTGCCCTCGGACGTCTGCTCCCCAGAGGTTGAGCTGCTCAGCTGTTGCGTCAGCTCGCGCGCCTTCGAACGGGTAAGGGCCATGCAAGCTATTTCGGTGGCAAATGATTCTCCACGTGTTTTTAACATTTCCTCAGACTTATTTGAAAATAGGTAAGGGAAGTGCTCCGGAAGGTTGGCTGAAATTGCTGCTTCCGTACA